TAACACTCCACACTCCCAATGCAGAGAGCTCAGGTTTGATCCTTGGTCAGGGAACTAGATCTCACATGCTGCAACTAAGACCTGGTGCAGCCAAATAAATAAATATTAAGGGGGAGAAAAGATTGTTCAATCCTAGTCCCCAGAATGGTGAATATATCACTTCATATGGTAAAAGGGACTTTAAGAGGCAATTAGTTAATAGGGAGATGGGAGACTGTTCTGGATTATCCAATGGTCTCACTGAAATCACAAAGTTCCATATAAGTGAGAGGTAGGAATGTCAGGGTCAGAGAAACAATGATGAGAACAGAGATTAGAGTGATGGGTTTTGAAAACAGAGGAGGAAGGACTTCCTAGTGGTCAAGACTGTGTTTATAATGCAGGGGACATTGGTTTGATCCCTGGTCAGGGAAGATCCCACATATCCTGTGGTGCAGAAAAAAAATAATAATAGTAAATATGAAATAGAGGAGAGTCGCCATCAAAGAAAAAGGCAGAGAAACTTGCAAAACTGAAACAGGTGAGGAAAAGGATTCTCCCCTAGAGCCTCCAGCAGGAAGCAGTTGTGCCCACAACTTGACATTAGTCCCGTGAGACTAATTTTGGACTTCTGTCTTCTAGAATTGTAAGATTAATTTGTGTTAAGTCTTGGAGTCTGTAGTAACTTGTTACTGCAGCAAGAAAAAACTGATATGCTGGCTCTCATACCCTACTCACATGGGAGTGATTCCAGTTGGGACTCTGCTGGGACCCTGCACCCTGAAAATTTTACACAAGTATCTCCTTTGGTCAAAGCAAAATGATTCCAAATACTGTCCCTTGAGTTAGAAAACAAGTTTCAGATAATTCCATTCTACATGGAGAGTTAAAAATATTTTAAAGGAGATGAAAAATGTACAACCACATTAAACCGCACCAGTCTCTTCCTGCTGCCCCCAGTTGAAACACATTTTCTTTTCAAAGAGTGATGCTAAGGTGTTTCCTGACAAAATCAGACCTGTCTGGATGGTGTCCACTGCCTGTCACCAAGTAACCTTGTCTGCCCATGGATGCCGTGGGACCCAGGCTGAAATAACAGCGCTGGGAAAAGGCACACTGCTGACCAAGCAGGGGCCCTGGCGGAGCTGGAGGGTGGATGTTTGGGGCAGACGTTTCTAAGAGCTATGAATGTAATTAGTCAACTTTGTGGGCAGGAAGGGTGTGACCATAATTTATTAATAAGATGAGTGAAAATGCATGGGAATCAAGGGAAGGCAGAACCCTAGAGTCGCTGCCCAAACTGCCCACACAACGGAAAACAGAGTCAGGGGCTGGTCCTGGAGCAGGGCGCTCATCAGTGCGTGGCCGTGGTGTCTGCCCTCCTCCACCCTGGTCCCAGCGGAGGTGGACTGGGTCAGCAGAGCCCAGACAGGTCTGTCTGACTGCATCCTACCAGCCACCAACCCTGCCATGGAAGGAGGCCAAAACAGGAGGGTCAGAGATGGACCTTCTAGCCTCTGCCAGGGACCAAGGTGAGTTACTGCCCATCTCTGGGTCTCAGTTTCCCCAGCCAGAGCCAGAGCTGGCTGGACTAGAGGACCCAGCCTGAGGGGCCCGGCTCCCTGGTCCAGGTCCTCAAGCTCAAGTCTGGCTCCACCTTTAGCCTCTCTCTCCCCCACCTCCCCAGATGGGGCCCAGGTCCAGCCAGAGCATCTGCCAAATTCCAACAGAGAGGGCTACTTTCTGCTTGCTGCCCGCCCCCCACAGTCTCCCTGAGGTCTCCTTGAACTTGACCTCATTTCTTGATCTTGGGGCCAATAGATCATTTATTCTTAACTCTCTCCTTCCATGGGCTTGGCACCCCTTTCTCTTTTCTTTTCAGATCTTTACCCTCCATCTTGGTTTAAGCTCCCAAAGACAACCCAGAGAGAAGGAGTTGGATGCAGGTGGTGTATTTTGGAGGTGGTCCCAGGAAGCACAGGGAAGATATGGAGAAAGTCAAATAGAGTGCTAGTCCCCCAAAATGATAAGGGGTTTCCCCAGTGGCTCAAATGGTGAAGAATCTGCCTGCAATGCAGGAGACCCAGGTTCGGTGCCTGGGTCAGGAAGATCCCCTGGAGAAGGAAATGGCAACCCACTCCAGTACTCTCGCCTGGAGAATCCCATGGACAGAGGAGTCTGACGGGCTACAGTCCATGGGGTCCCAAAGCGTCGGACATGACTGAGCAGCTAACGCTTTCACTTGCAAAATGACAAGCTGGAGTCCTAATCCCTGGTATCTATAAATGTGACTTTATTTGAAAATGGGGTTTTTGCAATGAAGGGATAAGGTCTTTACATGTAATTTAGTTGCAAGTTAAGGTGAGAACACACTGCTGTAAGATGGGCTCTTAATCCAATATGACTGGGGTCCTTATAAGAAGAGATGCAGAAACAGGCAAAGACGGGAGGAGAATACCATGTGAAGGCCCAGTCACGCAGAGGGAAGACTGTCACGTGAAGACAGAGGCAGAGATTATAATGACGCAGCTGCAAGCCAAGGAACTTCAGTCATATTGGATTAACAGCCCATCTTCTTGAAGGATGGGGGTTTCTCAGGTGGCACTAAAGGTAAAGAACCTGCCTGCCAATGCAGGAGACACGAGAGATGCAGGTTCCATCCCTGGGTCGGGAAGATCCCCTGGAGAAGGAAATGGCAACCCACTCCAGTATTCTTGCCTGGGAAATCTCATGGACAGAGCAGCCTGGTGGGTACAGCCCACGGGGTCGCAAAGAGTCAGACATGACTGAAGTGACTGAGTGTGCACACACATATTGCAGTGTGTTTTCATCTTGCAACTAAATTGCATGTAAAGACCTTATCCCTTCATTGCCAAGACCCCATTTTCAGATAAAGTCACACTTATAGATAACAAGGATTAGAACTTACATATATACATACATATGTGTGTGTATGTATATAGGCTTCCCAGGTGATGCCTGTGGTAAAAAAAAAAAAAAAAAAACAAACCTGCATGCCAATGCAGGAGACATAAGAGGCATGGGTTAAATCCCTGGGTTGGGAAAATCCCCTGAACGAGGACACAGCAACCCACTCCAGTGGGTTCTTGCCTGAAGAACCCCATGGACAGAAGAGCCTGGCAGGCTACAATTCATGGGGTCACCAAGAGTCAGATATGACTAAAATGACTTAGCACACTTGCACTCATATATATATATATAAAATTCTTTTTGGCCATTCAGTATCTTCGTATGCCCTGCCCCACTTCATGTAGCTTGGAGGAAGGAGGAAGTCTGTTGCATTACAGATGCTGAAATGCCAGAGACCTGTCTTCCCAGCCTCCTTTGCAGGCATTTAATAAGCGTTCTGTCCATTAGGCACCCATGGGAGCCAGTGACAGAAAGAGTCTGAGACTGTGTGGACACCATGCTGGGGAGGTTGGGGGCACCAGAGATAGCCACATGTTCTAGAGGCTTCCAGAGTTGGGCTCAAGCAGCAATGGCCAGCTCATTCACTCTGGGATCACCAGCGCCCGCAGAGGTGTCAGTTCCCATAGAGGTCTCAGATGTCTCCCCAGGGGCAGCCCTGCCGAGTGATTCTGAACATTTTTCCTGGCTGCACGGCCTCCAAAACTAGTTGTCTGACCCATACAGAGATCCTGTGAGCTGCTCACACCCTTCAATGCATTTGTTTTGCCTTAATAAGCAGAATTAGCTTCAGCTGCTTGCCGTCGAGCTCCATGACTGATGCAATTTCATGCACACAGCTCTTTCAGCTTTTGCTTGCAACCATTCTGGCTCTGGGATTCTGGTGGGAGGCTTTGGGAGTGGGCCAGCACCAATCCCTGTGGGCAAACTGCCCTGGTAAGCATTCTATGTGCTTTTCTTCTTTATAACAACTCTATTGCCTAGATAAGTTTATTGCTTGGTTTTATAAATTAGGAAACTGAGGCTCAGAGAAGGTTTGCAACTTGCCAGAAGCAGCAGAGCTCAAAAGGATGGAGGCAGGATGTGCTCTGGGTTGGTCTGACTCTAAATCCTAGGCTGCTCAGCCACGAAACTCTTTTGGGAGGGAGGGGTCACTTACTGCTGGGAGTCCTACCTGAAAATAATTCCCCTGCTGGTGCCTGGACATTTCCTGTGTTACACCATGAAATATCCTGCCAGAAACACATTCTAAATTACTTTGGACCCTGCATCATGCAGGTTACATTTTAAGATCATCAGGGTTGGCTACTTGGGGACTCTTTCTAAAGGAAGCAGAGTTGCAGTACCTATGAGGGAAGGTCCTGTGTGGGACAAGAAGTCCCATGAATGGAGCATCTCTTAATCTGGGGTCTTGGAGAAGCAAATTACCTTCCAACTCAACAGAGCAACACCCTGGGCACTCACAGTCCATTCAATGGCACTGCTGGGTCCCTTCCTGGGGCAAGATCAGGGGAAGACAGGTGCTAAGTATGCTGAGCTTAAAATCTCCCATCAGGACTCAGAGGGCATTGAGCTTCTGGGGATTTTGGCAGCTATATCAGAAGGGGGTGGGGTGGGGGTGGGTATAGGAAGCTCAGACCAGGCAGTGACCCCAAGGACTCAGAACAGTTCTGGAACTCGTGTTTGGGAGTTGGACTTGTCACTCCTGTTCCTGGAGTGCCCAGCATGAAACTCTTCAATGAAAGGCCTGTGGGGAAATGGGGGCCTGTGCCAGGTGCCGCAGCTGGTGTGGCTGAAGAGGGACCCTGAGAGGAAGAAGGCCGGCATGCTGAGATGCTAAAGGCATCGGTGAAGAAGGGGGACTCAGGGTGAGTGTAGGTGTTCAGTCGTCCAGTCGTGTCAGACTCTTTGCAACCCCATGGACTGCAGCACCTCCAGCCTCCCTGTCCCCAACCATCTCCCAAAGTTTGCCCCAGTTCATGTCCTTTGCATCGGTGATGACATCCAGCCATATCACCCTCTGACGCCCTCTTCGCCTTCTGCCCTCAATCTTTTCCAGCATCAGGGACTTCTCCAACAAGTCAGTTATTCACGTCAGATGACCAAAATACTGGAGTTTCAGCTTCAGCATTGGAGGTAGGGGGTCTGAAAAGTCAGATGCTTGAGGAAGAGTGGGACTTAGCAGCCTAAAGACCTGTATTCCCCTGGGGGACAGCCCATTTCCTGGGCCAATTGAAGGCAGGCAGTTCTGAGTGGGGAGAGCCCTGGATAGAGCCCGAGGCAGATGGCTTGTGCCCGCGCTCTGCCACCCACGACTGGTGAAACCAGGAACTACCAGCACCCATTCGCTGGCTCCTCCCTCCCTCTAACCCGGGACACGGAGAAGACTGACCCCCAAGTGACACCCTGAGTTTCTTAATTTGGGGCAAACACCCTGCATCTGCTAGTGTTCACATTGTTAACAAAACGATTTCCTCATCCTCCCTAGTGCTCACCTTCCTGAAACAGCCCAGTTCCTTCCTCCTGAATGGGAAACTGAGAGGCTACGTCTTACAACAAGATGGATGTCACAGTGCCCATTTCCGAGCTCACATGAGCTAACAGCTAGCGGAAAGTGAAACCCCGGCCTTTCTCCCTCTACCCGTTATCTCGTATGATGTTACAGACCTGTGAACCTGGGTATAAAGGAACTTTTTTTATTATTCCACATGCTCCAGCTCCCACCCACTTTTGAGAGGTGGGAAGCCAGTGTCTTTCCCAGTCCCCTAAACCTCTGTAGGGATTCCTCAGAGGTAACACATGCGTTTTCTCTCAATCACGAACCCCCTAGAGACCTGCCCTAGGCGCCTGTAACTCCACCCCCTCTCTCTGGGATGCCTGTTAACTCTGCCCTCTCTGTCTGGGATGCCCGTGGCTCCGTGGCTCCGGCTCCCCCCTCTCTGGGATGCCCGTGGCTCCGCCCCCTCTCTCTGGGCCGCCCGTGGCTCCGCCCCCTCTCTCTGGGATGCCTGCGGCTCCGCCCCTCTCTGAGACAGCTCAGGCTCTCCTGGGACAAGCTGTGTGCTTGCGGAGGGCCCAGCAGTCAGCATCAAGTAGCGCACCAATGCTGCACCCTCGTTTGGAGTGAAGACCACACAGGGGAGCCCTTTAGTCTCTAGGACCTCTCCTCCTGACATCCTTTCCTATCTGAGTTCTTTTCTCCCGGTTTTTCCTCCAGGGCGCCACTCTCCTCCCTTCTCCTTGATCTGCTGAGTGTTCATAGCAGTTGGCCCAAGGTCCAGCTCTGGCTCAGGGAACTGACAGTTTTGAGGAAATGGAGAAAGGAGAGTGGGTAAGAAGATGGCAGTGAGGAGCACCCTACCTCTCCTGCTTCTCCCCTGAAGAGACCAGAGACTCCTGGCTGGAGGAGGAGAGCATCCTTGTCAGTGGTTTGTGGGCCCCTCGTGCCCAGAGCTGAGTGGGCATTCCACAGGCATGATGGTGGCCTGGTGGAGTCCCAGGCCTCTGCTTCTGTGTCTCTAGAATGGGCGCAAGAATTATATAATAAAAATGAATGTAAGATTTATTATCATAAAATCACATGGTCATTATATAAATACATATCATACATATATGTATTATACACATAGGATTGGGTGTTGCCCAGTTGTGGGACCTGATTAAACCGTCTCTGGGAGCTGTTGCTTCTACATCTGGCACCATAGCCTGAAGTCAGCTGTGGAGAAGGGAAGGTGGATGTGAGGTGGAGCAGGTCAGGGGAAACAGGATGAGCAGACCTACAGGATGGACTAGAACGAGCTTAGGTGATGAGGGCGGCCTGCACTCTGATGCCCTTCATCACAGAGCTAACACCCGCCTGGCCCGGAGCTGCAGAAGCTGAATGAAGGGGGGTCATGGCAGCCCCTGCCCGCCTGGCCTGGAGCTGCAGAGGCTCAATGAAGGGGGGTCATGGCAGCCCCTGCCCGCCTGGCCTGGAGCTGCAGAGGCTCAATGAAGTGGGGGTCATGGCAGCCCCTGCCCGCCTGGCCCGGGGCTGCAGAGGCTGAATGAAGGGGGGTCATGGCAGCCCCTGCCCGCCAGGTGAGCCCACCAGTGAGCAGTGACGTCTGCAAGCGGCCAGGTGTCCTGTGCTCCAGTCTCCCAGTGGATGGGATACAGCTGCTACGTCACTTCTGCCTTCATTATCTCATGCCAAGCATCTCTTGCCACCGGCCCACACTAACCTGGACCTATGTAGGGAAGGGAATTCCATACCCTCAGAGACCTCAAGTCACCTGGAACACTGTAGCATTGTCCTGGTGGACAAGAGTGACCAGAGGGGGCCACAGGGACACTCTGCCCCAGCATGGAGCCCAGCTCTCCAGTCTAGATGTCCCTTTCCTCAAGACAGGTTTGCTCGTAGACATAATGAAACTGAAAGTGAAAGCATTAGTTGCTCAGTCATGTCCAACTCTTTGCAACCCCTTGGCCTATATCCTCTGTCTATGGAATTCTTCAGGCCAGAATACTGGAGTGAGTAGACCTCCCCTTCTCCAGGAAATCTTCCCAACCCAAGGACTGAACCTGGGTTTCTGGCATTGCAGGCATATTCTTTACCATCTGAGTCACCAGGGAAGCCCATAATGAAACTACCCCCAAACCTAAAACCAGACTGAGGCCACACTGGGGCCCCACAGTTCTCCCTAACTTCTAATCATGGGCATCTGGGATTGGGGACTTGGGGCCCAGCCTCCTCCCAGAGATCCCTGGCTCCCTATATGCCTCCTCTCTGGGAGGCTCAAGGTTCATGCCCAGCTGGGTGCCAGCCTGCTCTATATCTGCATGTCTAAGGGAGACCGCAGAGGGGATTCTTCAGGTAAACATAGTCAGCAGATGAACCTTCCAGAGACTGTGCTTCCTACGGTATTGCAATTCTCGAAGGAATAGTTCTGTGAGGGTAGAGAAAGAAAACCTACAAGATAAGGTGCTGATGCATCACTAGCAGTTCCCTCTGAGAGCTGGCATTAGAGATGGTTCTTCTGCCCGCCTGGGTTGTGGTTTTTTTTTTTCCACCCTATATTGAATTTCAATGAACACATATGACTTTTATAATAAAAAAGAACAAATATACTGTAGTCAGGTTTTCCCTCCTTCGTCCACACAGATGATCCACTTAGTTAACAGGTGCAACAGCCAGGAGAGCTTGGGGCAGATCTGAGCCACATGCATGCTGCCTGCCTGGCATTGTAGAAATGGAAACGTCCTATGGCCAAGAAAGGCCACTTCTCAGCCTCTCAGACACCAAGGGCATACCTGGGGCATGAAACTAACCAGGTCCAGTCATCTCTCTCTGGTGTCCCAATAGCTTGCCATGGTCAGCAGAAGTCCCAGGGCAGGGAGCTGATGGGCAGGTGTCCTCAGGCAGGCGAGAAGGGCCAAGTCCCTCTCTCCTCACCCCCTGTAAGTATCAAAACATCCCAGGTGGACTTTCCTGGTGGCACAGTGGATGAGAATGTCCCCCATGTGTGGAGGACATGGGTTTGATCCCTGGTCTGGGAAGATTCCACGTGCCGCGGAGCAGCTAAGCCTGTGCACCCTGACTGTTGAGCCTGTGCTCGAGAGTCCATGAGCTGCAACTCCTGAAGCCTGCCCGCCCCAGAGCCTGTGCTCCGCAAGAGAAGCCACCGCAGTGAGAAGCCCACACACAGCATGAAGGGTAGCTCCCAGCTCACGGCAACCAGAGCAAAGCCCGAGCAGCAGTGAAAGCCCAGTGCAGCCAAAAATAAAGTTTTTTTAAAAAAATCCAGGTGTGTGTGATCAACTCCTTGGCTCTTTCAAGGATGGCAGGAGTCCTAGCCCAACAGAAAGACTGTTTCAAAGGAATGAAAGCTGATGAGAAAGCCTTGCAGAGAGCGAAGGGCTTGCCCAAGGAGCCAGATACCAGCCAAGAGCATCAGAGGTTTACTCCAGGTTCTCTCCTGGTCAGTCTAACTCCAAACCCCACCTGGGAGAGCAGTGCTGGACCACCTCACGGCATGGATGCAGAGCCACACACGGCTGGGCACCTGTTGTTCAAGGGCCAGTCTTGGTTTTCCTGTAGCTCAGAGTGCGTGCTCAACTCTAAGGGCCAGAGAAGCAAAAGGTACCCATGAAGGCTGATGATTTTTAGTACCTTCTAATTGATACTCTTTTTAAAAATCGTTTTATTTATTTTAATTTTTGGCTGTTGGGTCTTCATTGCTTGCAGCAAGCAAGAGTTGCTCTTTAGTTGCAATGCAGGGGCTTCCCATTGGGGTGGCTTTTCTTGTTGCAGGGCACGGAGCTCCAGGGCATGTGGGCTGCAGTCATTGCAACATGTGGGGTCAGTAGTTGTGGCTCTCGGGCTCAGCTGCCCTGAGGCATGTGGGATCTTTCCAGACCAGGGATTGAACCCTTGTCCCCTGCACTGGTAGGCAGACTCTTTACCACTCAGTCGTCAGGGAAGTCCTGATATCCTTGGCATATGTGTTCACGTTTATTTGTTGAGTGCAGGGAAGGAGCCAACACTTCCTACATGGTATGCAAAATAAAAATGTCTTTGCAGGTGACTTTGCACCCCCAGGCTCTGCCTTGGAGGCAAGAAGAAACTACTCACTTCTCTCCAATTCCCGAACCCAAGCGTACATTTTGCCAGTCAGGTTTATTTTCTGGGAGGCCGTTGTGCCCTTTAGATGGGTGACCTGGGCCGCTGTCAGCCAATGTGCCCTTCAATCAGCTATTCCCACTCTGTGGCCAGGAAGCAGCACCCACATCCCACCACCAAGCCTTCAGGCCACGCACACTCCTGCATAGACTACAGTGTCCCATTTATCTTTTTAATATCTTATTTATTTATTTGGCTGCATCGGGTATTAGTAGCAGCGCGTAGGTTTTGATCTTCATTGCAGGATATGGGATCTGGTTCACCAACCAGGGATCAAACCCAGCCCCCCTGCATTGAAGGTGCAGAGTCTTGGCCCCTGGACCACCAGAGAAGTTCCTCCAAGATCCCATTTAAACACCACCTTCTCCATGCAGCCACCCCGCGCCCCAGCTGCTCTAGTCTCCTCCCTGATGCCCTAGATCCTCGGTGCTCCTCTCCCGACATCACAGCTCCTCCATGGCCCCTTGCCTGATACTCCATAAAATAAAAATGTCTTTGCAGGTGACTTTGCACCCCCAGGCTCTGCCTTGGAGGCAAGAAGAAACTACTCACTTCTCTCCAATTCCCGAACCCAAGCGTACATTTTGCCAGTCAGGTTTATTTTCTGGGAGGCCGTTGTGCCCTTTAGATGGGTGACCTGGGCCGCTGTCAGCCAATGTGCCCTTCAATCAGCTATTCCCACTCTGTGGCCAGGAAGCAGCACCCACATCCCACCACCAAGCCTTCAGGCCACGCACACTCCTGCATAGACTACAGTGTCCCATTTATCTTTTTAATATCTTATTTATTTATTTGGCTGCATCGGGTATTAGTAGCAGCACGTAGGTTTTGATCTTCATTGCAGGATATGGGATCTGGTTCACCAACCAGGGATCAAACCCAGCCCCCCTGCATTGAAGGTGCAGAGTCTTGGCCCCTGGACCACCAGAGAAGTTCCTCCAAGATCCCATTTAAACACCACCTTCTCCATGCAGCCACCCCGCGCCCCAGCTGCTCTAGTCTCCTCCCTGATGCCCTAGATCCTCGGTGCTCCTCTCCCGACATCACAGCTCCTCCATGGCCCCTTGCCTGATACTCCAGCTAGCTCCTCTTCCATCCTGATTGTCATGAGTTTTATTGTTTTGGTCTCTCCCTTCCCCTGACCTTGAGAGGCCATCTGTCTCCTCTCAGCTCTTGCCCTCTGACCCCATGCACTGTGCCTGGCACTGTAAGCACCCTACAAACTCTGGTTGAAAAAGAAATTTCTGGTCAATGTCTGAAATTAATCCAACTCAAGCTTTTCTCGGCAGTCATCTGTAAATTGGTTCAAGGTGCCCAGCTGGGGAGGTGGCAGGTGTGGAGAGGAAATCAAGGAATCCAGCCTCTCTCCTTCCTCTGAAATCCTGCCAGACTCTGATTCTTCTGCTTTTTTCTCACACGTGTGCATACTGTGGGGGAGCAGATTTCTGAACCTGGATAAATATGCATTTGCTTGTGAACATCAATGTTGTGAGCACCGTAAATCATTAGAAACAAGAGACGCCTCTCGTGCTGGAAGGCAGGAGCTGCTTCCGCAAGCTCTATCAGAAAGGTATCGACACCAGTAATGCCACCCGTCACAGCCCCTGGGGAAATCGAAGCTTTTCCTATTGAGGAGACTGTTTAATGGATGTACTTGCATGCATGGGATGAGGGCTGTGATGGATGCAGACTGGAGAGACCTAAAGACGCTGTGGGTCATACGACCAGCGGTGTCAGAGCAGACAGGCACCCGAGGGTGGAGAAGGCCAGTCCTGCTGAGATCAGCAGCACGGCAGCAGCACCTGCCCCACCCTTCCCGCAGCCCCCAAGCCTGTCGCTGTCTGCGTGCTGCAAAGAACCAGAAGCCTCATCCGCTTTCTACTCGCGCTGGGCACCTCTAAGCCGAACAGATAGACAGCGCAGAGCTAAGGGCAGCAACCTGGCCTCAAGGCTTGCTTTCTGTGGTCCCCGGCTCAGCATTCCCTGCCTCTCTCACAGTAGGTACGTGATTAAGTTGGCTGAATTGTGGATTCTAAACTTCCAGCATTGGCAGTGGGTCAGCCACAGAACACATAATCACAACCGCACGGTCTGATTCAGTCCCTGGAAAACTAGCGTGTCAGCAGCTGCCGTGGATGAAATCATTCATTACTCGGGGAGTGGACGATGCTTCTCTGCATCTCATCACTGACCCAAACTTCTGGGTCTGATCATCGAAATTGTGTTCCAACGGATCTCAACCCAGTACATCAGAGGCATCTGGAAGACTGTTATAAAGATGCAGGTGGTGGACCCACCCAGACTGGGCGGAGATGCTGTGAAGTCTTCTCTCACGTTTCTCCAGGGGGGCTCCAAAGACAGAGGACCACTGAGGTCCCAGAGGGGCCAGGGGACACTGTCCCAACTCTGCCACTGGAACCCTCTGAAGTTACTGCCGGGCCCTTCACAGAAACTCTTTTCAGAATCTCAGCTTCCTCATCTGTAAAATAGATGTAATAAAACCCTATGCCCTATACCCTGAGAAAACCATAGCTGAGAAAGACACGTGTCCCCCAGAGTTTACTGCAGCACTATTTGCAATAGCTAGGACATGGAAGCAACCTAGATGTCCATCAACAGATGAGTGGATAAAGAAGCTGTGGTACATATATACAATGGAATATTACTCAGCTATATAAAAGAACACATTTGAGTCAGTGCTAATGAGGTGGATGAAACTAGAGCCTACTATACAGAGTGAAGTAAATCAGGAAGAGAAAAACAAATATCGTATATCAATGCATACACATGGAATCTAGAAAGACGGTACTGATGAATCTATTTGCAGGGCAGCAATGGAGACACAGACTTAGAGAACAGACCTGTGGACCTGAGGGGAGGGAGGGGGGAGGGAGTGAGATGAATGGAGAATGTATCATGGAAACATATACATTACCAGATGTAAAATAGATAGCCAGTGGGAATTTGCTATATGACTCAGGGAACTCAAACTGGGGCTCTGTGACAACCTAGAGGGGCAAGATGGGGTGGGAGGTAAGTTCAAGAGGGAGGGGAAATATGTATACCTGTGGCTGATTCATGTTGCTTGTAAAGCAATTAAGTTGCTTCATTTAAAAATAAATAATTTTTTTAAAAAAACCTGTGCCCCTCTGACTACATAGGCCCACCAAGGCATAGGAACCCATTTGCAGACCTTATAAAGCAGCTACCTGCTAGAATATTCTTTTATTCTCTGCATCTCATCACTGACCCAAACTTCTGGGTCTGATCATCGAAATTGTGTTCCAACGGATCTCAACCCAGTACATCAGAGGCATCTGGAAGACTGTTATAAAGATGCAGGTGGTGGACCCACCCAGACTGGGCGGAGATGCTGTGAAGTCTTCTCTCACGTTTCTCCAAGGGGGCTCCAAAGACAGAGGACCACTGAGGTCCCAGAGGGGCCAGGGGACACTGTCCCAACTCTGCCACTGGAACCCTCTGAAGTTACTGCCGGGCCCTTCACAGAAACTCTTTTCAGAATCTCAGCTTCCTCATCTGTAAAATAGATGTAATAAAACCCTATGCCCTATACCCTGAGAAAACCATAGCTGAGAAAGACACGTGTCCCCCAGAGTTTACTGCAGCACTATTTGCAATAGCTAGGACATGGAAGCAACCTAGATGTCCATCAACAGATGAGTGGATAAAGAAGCTGTGGTACATATATACAATGGAATATTACTCAGCTATATAAAAGAACACATTTGAGTCAGTGCTAATGAGGTGGAT